ACTGTTTAGAAATTTAGAAACTCTGTATCTGTTCAGGCGAATTAAGGCGTGTGTCTATGACGCTAGTACTTGGTCCAAGTTCTAGTTTTGAGGAATGCGTAGCCATTCAACTTGCAGCTTTTGTGGAACAGCTACATTGATTGGCTACATATTTCGCGGAATTAGAACTTGGACCAAGTACTAGCGTCATAGACACACGCCTTAATTCGCCTGAACAGATACAGAGTTTCTAAATTTCTAAACAGTTGCTATTCTTTTCATCGGTGTTTTATTATTAACTCGATTATTTTTTCCAATAAAATCTTTAGTTTGATTTTTTAAGAAATATAACATTTTTTAATCAAGAACTAATGCTAAAGCAACTAGTGTGTATATATATCCGCTGCTTTATTTGGCGCAATTTGTTGATATCATTACTTTTGTAGAGAAGATAGTTTTGTAGAGAAGATATTTTTGTAGAGACGATATTTTTGTACAGAAGATTTTTGTGGCGACACTATTTTTGTAAAGAAGATACTTTTGCAGTAAAGATATTTTTGTAGAGATTATACTTTTGCAAAAAAGATAGAGTAACAAAATATATTCGGTTGAATTGGAGCTTAGACTTGGTGCTTTTTTTACCTTTTTTTAAAAAGGTATCAAATACTCGTGAACTCACAACTTATAAAGAGTTTACATTTCAAGAATAGCTGATTGAAATTCCGGATCCTTAACAATAGGACGATTATAAAATCTCGCGAAAACGTCTGACGATTTCCGCCAACCTGCCGTGCGTCTAATCTCGTCGATATTAATGCCTTTACTGGCTGCGAGGGAAGTAGAGGCATGTCGCGTAGAGTGTGACGAGAAAATAGAAACGTCTATACCCGCCACGTCTAGAACCTCCTTAACCCAGCGTCCTAACGTCTGGGAAGAGACTGCCTGATGTGGTTTACGAAAAGATATGAAAAATGCATCGCAATTATCCTGGCGAAGTCCCTGTGAAAGCTGAAGGTAGTGTTTTGTTAGAGAAAAAACAGAGCTCGGTCTAAAAAAGGCTTAAAGACTAACATGGGTTGGGATCTTCCGATTCCTGAAGTCTTAAGCCGAGCAGGGATTCGAATGATCATGCTGTCCGAGATGAGTATGTTCGAACATTGAATAGCTGCCAGGGTCTGCATGCGCTGAGTAGTTTTAAGCGCGAGAAGAGTCACTAATTTCTTGGAGATTAGTTCGAGAGATAAAACGTCATAAGGATACAAAGTGACTAAGTATTTCATAACAGGGGAAGGGTCCCAAATAAAGTCGTATCGTGGTCGTTGCGGTTTTAGCGCGGCCACTCCCTTAAAAAATCTTCTAATTAGAGGGTGTGTACGTTTTGTGGTCTGGATATGCCTGAGATCACTTATTTTCTCTTCACGTTTTATTGGTTTACTTTACATTTCTTAGTCTCTGTACGAACGTTGCACATACCCACACGACGTGACCATGGACTCTCTAGTTCGGCTCGGATCTTGTACCATACTTTCTTTACGACGCGCCATCTATCTTCCCTTCATAACTAAAATTCGCATAGCGCCTCTACCTACCTATCCTTGAACGATCGCGTTAGCCAATAGGGTACATTCGCAACATACCGCGCCTCTTGAAAGCACTGCTTTCAACAAATTAACGTTTCTTGGATATAATAATATAAAATAATCGACAATAACCAAACATATTTACCAACGTCGCTGAGGATTACTATAACTACGTAACTGTAAACTAATGACTACATTCTCGAACAGTTTAAAAGATTAATTATGACAAACTTGACTTAACCTAGATCTCGCTTATTACATCGAATCCTCGATAGGCAACACGCACAACTTTCTTAACGATCGTTTTAACTGTCCATTAGTTGTCTTCACAGCTACTCGCACTACTCCATCCATTCCAGAGTGTAGTTCCATGATGCGACCAGCCTTCCCTTGCAAGGGCGGCGTGTTGTCCTCCTTTATGATCACCATAGTGCCAATTTGTAATTTCGTTGGGTTG